AAATTTGAAGTATGGTTTCTGTAGTTTTAAGTTTAAAAACCTTAAATCATCATTAAGTTAATTAAGTACAGTCTGTATTTGGGATTGAGGCATTATCAGAGTTATAGAGCAGAGTTGAGAGGTTATAAGAACTAGGGAGTAAGACCTTCACCTGGAGACAGCCTCAGGGGGTCCCTGGTAAGCAGGTGAATGAGCAGAGAAGCTGGAGTAGACAGAAAAGAAATCAGAAGTGGGAAAAGACAAAGACTGACTTCAGAGTGTGCAAGAGAAGTTTAGAGTTAATGGCTTGATTCTTATTGGTGTGCAATTCGTGGTTTGAATCTTTCCTAGCACCCAGTTTTTCTTTGCTGTGTTTGAACATAGGGACATGCCTCTAAATGTTGTAACCAAGTTAACCCTGACTAAAACAGAAATGCTATGTGGAAGGTTGCTCGCCGGGACAAGTGGCACATGTTTTCTTTCACAGTTTTCAAAGCCTGTGTCTGGGTTAAGCCCAGGCTCCAGAAAACTATATATCTAGAACATATAACCCAGGTCCTCTAGAACTAGTCTCTATAGACTTGCTTTCTTGGCATCCCTCAGCATTGTAGGGTAGCTCTTATATGTGTAGCCACATTGATTTTCTAAAAGGTATGTATCAATCCATCCTACAAAATCTGAGCATGACTAATTCACTGCAACTCACCAGCAATGTATAATGAAAATTTAAAAATTTGTTGATAATTTCTGGTCAGTAATTTACATTAATTTTCTTTGTAGCCTTCTAACCATTTATCTTACAGTTGCTTGGCATTTATTTTACAGAGTTAAGCAGTTGAATTAGATCTACACAATCTTTTAACCCAAAGCAATAATTACCATTTTTACCCAGAGAACACACATAATTTTTGGTTACCTTATATTTAAAAATTGCATATTTTAACCTCTGGCTTTCGTTTCTATAAACATGGAGCTAGGAGCTGAGTAGGCCACAGCATGCCACAAATCAGGAAGAGAGGTAGGAAGGAGTGTAGTAGACCTTGCTTGGGGTGTTCACAAAAGCCTGGCCTGGGAGGAGTGGTGGCTTTGATTATCCCAGTGCATGAATCATTTTTGAATAAGTGATGCACACCTGGAGAACATCTTCAAAATACTCTCAGTAGCTCTCTGCCCACTCATCCTGTAGAATCAGACTCTGTCGTGGGGGATGGATGTAGTTTCCACAAGAGTTATTCCTCTGGCAAGGTGTTTGTCTCATTGGATATATTCTACAGTTAGATTTTAAATTCTTATCCGTTACACAGAACCAACATAGAGTCAACACGACAGCAGGTGTACTGACTCCCTTCACCGCAGGATGACTTACCTCTCTGTTCCCTACCAGTTAGAATTGCTAACTTTACCTCTGTCTCTGTGTGACAGCTACCTTATTTCTAAGTCATAAATTTGGGTTAGGCACACATTCAGGAGCAGGCAGGCTTATGGCATAACTTTGCTGCTATCAATAGTTCTACTTATTAACACCTTCTGAAGAAAGCTGATGAAAGCTATGTATAATCATTTCCTTAGTGTTTCTACTCATTCCTTTGTTAAGTAGATCTACTGAGGTGGTAGCAATCAAGGGAGCATTTTCAAAATACCAATTCCAATTTTATATTAATAGTATTAATACAAATAGTGGTAATATTATTGCAGGTCAACATAGTGCTTAAGCAGGGGCTTTGGAGAAAGGCTGATCTGGGTTAAAAATGGGAGCAGTGAAATGGGCCAGGTAATATCTATCTACCATGGTACTTGTTTAGTAGATGGAGGTTTTAAGTCATTACACTCCCATGTTTATTTTGCTTATACCTAACAGTCCTGTGCACACTGTTTGCAACCTAAATTTTCTAAGTGCTTTATCCAGGTAGTTCATTAAAAAGTTCTACTACATAATTTATTTGCTGCAGTGGGCCCTGCATGTGTATGTGGGAGTGTGAGCATTGTGAGCATGTTTTATGGACAAGGTAGGTGTTCTATATTCAGTATAAAATATTTTTCAGGCCAAAAGTTATTCTGGCCTTGATGTGGAAGGATTTCTTATACAATTCAGGTATAGTTGGATAGTGCTTATGAAGTGTTTTTGCAAGGAAGGGGAAAGGAAGGGAAAAGAAAAAAAAGAATAGAAGGAAAAAATGGAAACAAAGCTTTTGTAAATGAGGGGAAGAGGGGTTGAAAGGAGGAGAGGGGGTTGGGGATAAAAGATTAATCAAGATATATCATGTACAGGTGCAAATTCCTATGATTAATTTGATCATTATGTACCAATAAATGTACCAATCTAAAATGTACCAATAAAATTAATTGAAAACTACTCAATTCTAAAAAATAGTAATATACATATATTTACACACATATATACATATGTAAACATAGGTCTGTCGACATATATAAATCTATTGCAAATATTTTTCTGTTAAAGTCCGTATTTTTTTTTTTTTTTTGGTAATCTATTCGGATGTCTTGAATGTCAGTACCACCTAAATGGGACGGTTTAGGAAGAGATGCAGTCTTTATTCTGCGGCTTATATACACATGTCCTCCTTGGAGTTTAGGTACCTTGGGTTGAGAAGCCCAATTCTGGGGCCTTGGTTGCCTGCTTGTCATTGTGTCTGGAAAGACCTTTATGTTATTTTTTAGGAAATTTGGCCATGCCTGTACCTCTTTCCTCAGCCAGCTTCTCTGCAAAGGGGAGATGCCTTCTTTTCAGGAATTACTTGCTCAGTATCATTTGCATCAACCAGGATGAGACAGAAAACTTGGATTTGGATTTGATTGGCAGCTGGAATATCAGTACTGGGTCTTTTATGGAGTGTAGAGCCAGGAGTTCATTACCTTTCAATTATGTAAAACTGTATTTGGTGTGTAAAAAATATGTAGTCCCTGGCTGGGGATTTAGCTCAGTGGTGCTGTGCCTGCCTCACTTGTGCAAGGTCCTGAGTTTGATCCCTGGTACCAAAAAGAAAAGGAAAAGAAATATACAATCCATCCAGAATTTTTTTTCAGCTTTAATTGAGTTTATTGGTACATTTTAGGGATACAGTACAGTTACATTCATTGTTGGGATCTTGTACCTCCACATGACAAGTCTTGATTCTCATTTTTTCCCCTTACCCCTGCCCTCCCTTCTCCCCCTCCTCCCCTCCCCATCTACAAACCTTTATTTCCATCTTTTCATTATCTCACATTTTTTTCTTTTCCCTTTTTACCCTTCCCCTACCCGTCCCACCTTCCCTACACCTTTAGCTCCTTTCTTCCCATTTCTCAATGTCAGTAATCTTATTAGGATCTTCTGTATTAATGCAGATTATTCACACCAGGGAAACTATTCGGTATTTACACATGTGTGACTTATTTATTTCACTTAGGAGTATATCTTCAATATGTTTCCATCCAGAATTTTTTTTAATTACGAATCTTTTATCTCTATGCCTTATTTATGCATCATTTGGTCCAATTTATTATATCCCTATTTGTATTACAATCTCGGATGTTTCCAAAAATCCCACTGGCATCTTATTGGATTCTGTTGCTGAGAATGTTAGATTTTTATTCATTAAAAATGTTGAACTGTAGTTTCATAAAATTCAAGGACTTTCCTAAACTGTTTACTGGGGCCTCAGTTAGTTTGTTTTCCAAGCAGATTGCCTGTCTTTGTTTTAAAATTTTACAAAATGGATGTGTATCCTCTCAATTCCTTTTATATTCTAAAACCCATTGCTGGCTGGTGTTAGTCTGTTAGACTTTGGATGGTACATGTGGCCGGGCTGAGGCTAGCAGCTTACAGGGTGGCTCACTCCAGAGAAAACCCTTCATTTATACCAGGATCTTGTTACCTTTGCCTCATTATGAGGGCGCAGGGGAGCACTCTTGCCCTGCTCAGTTCTGAGGATCTTGTTGTTCTAGAGTTACCTGCTGTTTCCTAGGAACCTCCTTTTTCATTAACAGATCTCATTTTATACCTGCAGTCTACAGCCCTCCTGAAAGAGCCTCATTTCTGGTCTGGTTGTATTTGCCTAGAACTTCAATTTTTGTTTTTATTTTTGAAAAAATTAAAATTGCTCTTGGCCTCATTGTTTCTTTTTAAATTTGTGTCTTTCTTCCTAATTTCTTCCTCTGTAAAACAAAACAAAACAAAACGCCCACGTTTGTGTGAACTGCCCTTTACAACACCCAGGAGGGAGAAAACAATCTTCATAGCCACTCCACATGTGTTGAAAGATGCACTGTCTTCTGATTCATAGCAACAGACAATGGGAGTTGCACTCTCCTCATTGCAGTCCCTTAGATATCAGTCCCTGAAGGAAGGGCCTTCCTCTAGGGACCCACCACAGCCCATTAGGCCCACAACTGTGAAATCCAGTGTGAGCCTCTCTGCTTCCTTATCCTTGGATGGTGGTTTTCAGCAGAACACTGGTGCTCCTGCTCAGTTATTGTTCCGGATGTGACCAGACTCACTGAAAATTCTGACCTGCCTCTATAATGCAGTCCTTGTCCCTCTAGTACAAATGGAACATCCCTCACTGCAAATTCAAAATCCCAGATGCTCCAAAATCTGAAGCTTGGAGTGCTGAGTATGAAATTCAAAATCTTTTTTATTTTAGGACATTTTAGATTTGGGGATTAGAGATGTTCAACTGGTAAAGTATACAAATATTCCAAAATGTAAACACAAACTCTGAAATATGAGACATTTCTGATTCCAGGAATTTCTAATTAGGGGTGCTTACCTTGATTATCTTTGAAAAGCTATGGATATGGTTGAAGTCGATAGCTTTTCTTTTTGGTACATCAGATACATCAATCCAGGAAGACTAATTAGTCACAAACAGCACTAAGTCCTGATAAGTTAAGGCAGCATTATGCTGCCTGTTGGTCCCAGGGTAAGAAGGTACCCAGACTTCCCTTGGGCCCCCATATACAACTAGGCCGGAGAATAAAGGAAACTTCTAGCATGTTTCCATCAGCAGTTATATGTGCAGGGCTTGGAAATGACACTTTTGTTGCTATGCATTTGGTAGAATTTCTTGCTTATTCTGGGAAATTCTGTTATGTTCCTAGAAAGAGAGAACCAGAAATACTTGGTTAGCTATACCAATAACTATCATACTAAATTTAGAATTAACACCATGTTTTACTATTTATACTTGCCTTTCTACCTTTGTTGCAAAAAATTTCCCTTTTCCAAGATACGTGAACTTCAATAAAGCAACAAATTAAAAGTTTAAGGTAGAAATTAATACAGGAATATGATTGGCAACTAGATATGTAATTTGCAATATCCGTATCAAAAGGAACAGTGTATTTGTCGAAAGCGAACATAAAATTGGAAGCCAAACTTTCTAGCAGCCCATGTGGAAGGCAGACATGAGAGGGGGATAATGGACCCAGAAGATGGGGAATCTTTAGCTGGAGGCAGGAGTGATGTGTCTGAACTAGTACGTGCATAGAGAAAGAAGAGAAACTCCTTTCATCAGCTTCTTAGGGTATGCATGTCTATGCACCTACCAAAAGTTGTTGTTTTTTGGTACCGGGGATTGAACTCGGGCCCTTGCTCTTGCAAGGCAGGCCACTGAACTAAATCCCCGGCCCTCCTACCAAAAGTTTTAAAAATTATATAACATTTTTTTTTAATTGGAGAAAGCATTACAGGCTTCTGGATGCTAACCTTGAGAAGGCATTTCTTCCAGGTATAATTTTGAGAGATGGCAACATAGTTCTAGCACTTACAGTAGACACAGTGATGAGCTTCATAGGTACATTTATTACCATGTCTGTAATATAGGCTGGTGAGATTCAAGGAAACAAATTTAATAAAAGTGAATCTGTAGGGGATTGTCAGTACTTGTGTAGGGTAGTGGTGGTGGTTGGGACAATAAGACCTAAAGCCAGAACTGCTTCTCTGCTGATTTGGCCTAATGTAGATGCAGAAGAGAGGGAGAGGGAGGGGGAGGGGGGAGGGAGGGGGAGGGATTGGGTTTCATATCCTGCAGGTCATGAAACCAAAGCTTAACTTTTGAAAAATCTTTGGTGATAATAACATTGAGATTATAGCTACTAATAATACCTGAAGTATAGCTTTCCTGTGTTGTATACTGTATTTAGTGTGGTACACGTGGCCTGGATATACACTAAAGAGAATGTCATGCCACCTCTACCAGGTCCTGGAACAGAGCTGAGGCACAGCTTGGGGGGTGGGGTGGGAGTCGTGGTGTAAGGGCTGAGGTTGTTATGAGAGATCATCTTGCTTAAGAAAAGATCGTCAGTCTTTTTTCTATGTCCTAGAATTTTTTCCTGCCTCCCTTATTCCTTTCCTCCTTTCTTTCCTTTCTCCCCCCACCTCCTCCTCCCTACCATGCTGTGGATTAAGTCCAGGGACTCACACATTCTGGGCAAGTGCTCTGCCACTGAACTACGTCCCAGCCCTGTCCTAGAACATTTTAAACAGAAATTACTTTTTCTAAAAGGTAAATGCTTCTTATTATAAAAGTAATGTCCTTATTGTTAATATTCCAGAAAATTAAAAAAAAATAATCATCATTTGTATCTGTGTCACTGTAGACATGTTGGTAGCTTCGTAGGTTTTGTGTATATGCATGTACCTCTTATAAAACCAAGATGTGCTTCATAAAAGTCATATGATTTAGTAGTCTAGTTCCCCCAACACATCATCTATTTTAAGTATTTTTCCACATGAAAAAAACTGGGACTTTTTAAGAGTGATTTCATATTATATGGATATACCAAATTTAATTTCCTATTGAACATAGGTTTATTTCCATTCATTTTTTTCAAGTTGCAGTTTGTATGATTTCTTTGTACTTCCACACAAGTCTTTGTACACTTATTTAATCCTCCTTTAAGGATAAATTCCTAGAAGTTGAATTGCTAGACAGAGAGTCTCAGCAATATTTAAGATGTATAACATTGCCAAATTTTCCTTTATAGAAGTAACATAAGTATATGTTAGTATTTTTATACTTTTGCTTGTATTTGTCTGATAGATGATTAAATGATAAGAATGAAAATGTGTAATCATTACAATTAGTAATGAAAATCCTGTTGTTTCAGTTTGCAGTTATTTGAATAGTGAAATTGAAACCATCCTATGTTTCTGGACAGTTCATTTTCTCTAACTTGCTAATGTCCTTGCACATTTTTCTGTTAGACAATCTTAGTCTTTGTCTTATTGATTTGTATGAGCCTGTATATTTTTAGAGTATTGATCTCTTCAAAGTCATGGGGGAAATTTTCCATTTTATTGTAGCTTGAAAGTTTTGTTTTATCTTATTTAAAAATTTTGTGTTTCTGATATATCATGTTAGGTAAAAATTTATTCCTTTGTTTTATTAAGTTTTTATGTATTTTGTTTCTATGTCAAGGCATTTCCAGTTAAAATTAGCTGACCAATCCTTATTAGAAATCCTCTGCTGGCTGTGGTGGCACTCTCCTGTAATCAGGAGGCTGAGGCAGGAGGATCACTGTGAGTTCAAGGCCAGCCTTGAACATAGCAAGACCCTGTCTCAAAAAACCAAAGAAAGAAAGAAAGAAAGGAAAAGAAAAATCCTCAGGTGCTCTCTGTTCTCCCATTCTGTGTGGAAGGTTCCACTCAGGTTCCAAAACCTCTCTATGTCATGATCTTCTTTGACAATCTGGGACATCTACCACAGTAGCATTGACAGGAAGGAGTAATGAGAGTGATAGCAGCTGGTTACAGGCAAAATTAGAATGGGGCCTGTATATGAGAATAGAAGGCCAGTATTGAAACTGATGTCAGTAGCACTTATGGCTGTGCATGCCTATAATCCCAGCACTTTGGAGGCTGACTGAGGGATATTTCAACTTTGGGTCCTGCTCGACATGTTAATGGGAACTTATCTCAAAATAAAAAAGGGCTGAAGCTGCAGCTCAGTGGTAGAGTGCCCCTGGGTTCAATCCCTAATACCACAAAACAAGAACAAACCTGCAGCACCTGGAGAATATCTCCCTGTACTGGCAGTTCTAAGCAAGGCCTTGATAGACCTCATCTACCTACCATGGGTCACTTCTACCTCTCACCCCCTCATTTTACCACTAGTATATGGCACCAGGAAGAATTGGAAACACAAGAAAATGGAACCTAGGGATTATGAAGGAAAGCAGTTGTACTGAAACACAATTACTTCCTTTAGTATGGTAGCTTCACTACTGAATTCTCCCATTTAAAGAAGGCCTAATAACAATTTTCATATTCTTCCAAAAAATTAATGAAAAGGGAATGCTTCCTAACTTACTTTGTAAAATATAGCTATCAAAATATGTTTGTGACATATAAAATGATTAGCTTCTTTATTAAAGCATCATCTGATAAGACCTAGCAGCAGATCTAATAATGGCTGTGATTTCTGAGTAATAATGAGGGTGAATGATATTTTCAGACATCTAAATTATAATGTGATACGAACACATCAGAATATCTCTGTTGGCAGCAAAGTCACAGGTATTGTACTTGCAGCCTCCCTTTCTAGTGAATGGAAATGCTGTTTGAGGGGTTGATGAAAATAAAAATGTAGTTTTCTTATCGCAGTTTAAGGCTCCCTGAATTCTGTCTGATTTGTGTGGGAATCCATATACTACAAGGTCCTTTTAAAAATGGAATAGTCACTTGTTTTAGGAACTTTTTGGTAAATACTACAATGAAGTAATACCAGGGGTTGGGCTGGGTATTTCTAGTCTTTATAGAAATAGTAGAAGGACTCAAAATGATCAGTTGTCAAATAAGCCAGAAGTCACTAGAGAATATAGTGCTGGGAGGATGGAATTGATTCATGAAATGCCCATTCATTGAGTTGTGCACTATGAACAGTGTATTTTGCTACTCATTGTGGGAACTAGGACACAGGGCCACTCTCCAAGAGAAGTGAGTATGGTGGATGATAAATAGTTACTTATAAGTCCAAGTGATGGAGATGGATTGTTGAGTTAGGGTTTTCAGGGAGAGATATTAAAGCCAAGGCCTACAAGTTGAAGGAGCAATATGAAAAGATGGGAGATGAATGTAGTACAGAGTTCACAGGGTAAGGGAACCATGAGATCGAGGTTGTAGAGCAGAAGGAAGAGCTTGGTACATTAAGGACTGAGGCAATCACTGTTGTTCAGTGTAGAAAGCAGGGAATTAGGAGAATTAATGAAAGCCAGAGAGGGAGGTGGGGCAGATCACTCAGGACTTTGTAAGGGACTTTGGAATTTATTCATTGTACAAAATAAAGGCACTGGTAGATTTTTAGCTTTAGGGTGGTAAGTTCCAGTTAGTCCTTAAAAGGACCACAGTGGATGCTGGATGGGAATCAGGTAGAGAGGCTGGTGACAACTCCATTTAGGTAGCCTAGGGATTAGGAGTAGCACAAGAGGTGGAGATCAGGGGCCTGAAAGTGGAAAAAACAGGGCCTACTGACAACATGATTAGGTACAGAATATAAAGCAGAGATAGAAATCAAGGACAGTGCTTGGGTTTTGGGGTTGAGTCATTGGGTGCCATTTATTGAGTTGTGGGAGACAAGAAGGGACACTTTTGGGAGGACGATAATGGGTCAGGGTTCTCTGCTTAGCTTTGGTTAAGTTTGGAATGTTTATTAGATCACCAAAATTTCTGGATCACTGGGTTCTTGAATCTAGAGCTCATGGTAGTTTTGAGCTGGAAGTACAATGTTGTAGTCAATCAGATGCAGATGTTCAATGACTTGGGAACGGATGACTTGTGGAGAGAAGGGCTCCTGGTTTGAGCCCTAGGAGCTCTGATTGGGAGCACTTTGGGAGAAGGGAGCAATTACGAGAGTAAGAAGGAAAAGTCAGAGTTTAGGAAAACTGGGGGGGAATAATATCCTGAGAACCAAGAGAAGAAAGTATTTCAAGGAGGGCATAGTTAAATGTCAGATCTGGAGAGGCAGCTTACGTTAAAAATGAAAGAAAAAATAGAAAGCTGAAAAAAGTCAGTTGGAAAAGAGAAAGTGGAGAAGACAAATACCTTGTTTTATAGACTTGACTTTAGAAGTTTACACAATTGCAAAGCAAATTAAGA